CCCCAAAACCCCAAAACCCCAAAACCCCAAAACCCCAAAACCCCAAATTCAGGAAACAAAATTGAAAAAATCTTAAATGTAGTCAAGAATATTTGATAGTTTTTACTTAACAAATTTTAGTCCAGTTGGGTTACTCTTTTTGAGGCTTCTTTTCAGGATCTTTCTTCTGTCTAATCTCAAGCTCTCCTTTCACTTTGCGCTGGAGCTCTTTGATGTTCTCAAGACAATGAAGTCTGACTGTGATGCTTTGTCTAAATTCCTTAGTAAACTCTATCGCTAGCTTGGCAGCAGCTCTTCTGTTGCATTTCAAGCTGAGTAGGGTTTTATGAAACTTCTCAATCAGCTCATAAACCTGTTGAGGAGTATGAGACTTACTCTGTAGCATAGCCTGGAGCTCTTCTCTATAGACTTCTGAGTTAGCACTGCATTGCTTGAAGTTTCTCAGATAAATGGCAAACTGCTTCTCTTTTGATTGCGCTTTGAAGTAGACTTCATTGCTTTTTCTCCTGCTTTCTTGATATGCTTCAAGCTCTTTTATGAGATGATTCTTATGGTCTTCTGAAATGATGTCGTTCCTGCACCATGCAGAGATCAGTCTCCTATTGTTTTCATGATACTTTACACACTGATTCAAGTGATCCATTAAAGTTAGGAAGAGTTTTGATTCAGGATTCTTAAGCTTATTAACACAGTAATCAGCAGCACAGCAGAGGAGATGTTTCCTGAATCCTTTAGTATTTGCTTCTACTTGAGCCCAAAGATCAGCAACTTCTTTGCCAAGGTCATGCTCGATCTCATACTTGATCATATATTCTCCTGCTTGCTGGATAGATTCCTGATCTGTATCAAGGGCGTCTAATCTTAGCTTTATCTTTCTCTTTGTACCTTCTGTGAGGCCAGACTTCTTTTCCATTTTGACTCTGTTTTAGTAAAAGATTATATTTCAATCAATTTTTAGAATTTAGGGGTTTTGGGGTTTTGGGGTTTTGGGGTTTTGGGG